GGACAAATTGCTGGAAAACAGCAAAACAGATAGTTCTGTGATGGAATGACTTGAATGCCTAGTGGATTGGTGAAGAATCACTGTTTTGTTATCAAATTCCCCAGCCATAAATCCAAGATCTTGCTTGACCTGTAGTTTAGGGAAGACAGGTTTTGTTTGTGTAGAAGTGTAGTCAAGCAGTTTATTGATGCAGAAAAGAGGCAGACAGATTTACAAGTAAACATTTCCTTGGTCATTGGATTAAAAAAACAAACAAGCAAAAAAACCAGAAACAAAACCACCACACACCTGTGGTGATGAATTTGAAAGTGGTGTCTGCTAAATGACATGCTGCTGTAGTGGTGGGCCGGGTGACGGAGATGGCATAAGACCTAAGTGCTTCTCCCATCAGTGGCTTTTGGAGATTGGAAACCGATTGAGTAAAGAATCTTGGTTCCTGCTTTTTGCGGTAGTTTTAAAATGTAGAATTCTCTGCACTCTACATTAAAATTGCATTTCATTCCAGATTTTAACAGCCTGGCTTGGCTGCAAAGTGGACAGAAAGGTTTAATTATCTTGCTTTAATTGCTTTTCTGTGACTACAGAGTGAGACTATAAGACATTTGAGAGGTTTTTTTTCCCTTCATCTCCATTGCAGTTACTTTGAACAGCCTTATTAACAGCTAGGGAAATTGTAGAAAGTCTTATTCACATTGAAAGACATTTTACCTTAGCAATATTGGAAAGCCTGCATTGAATTTTCTGATATTTCTGTGTGGTTGTGATCTGTGTGGTTGTATTTAAAATTTGAAGCCTACATAATGTTTTTTACAAGATGAAATTATTTCATTCCTTCAGAGCTTGATGCCACATTAGAGGGGAATGTTTTTCATAATAATTTTTAGAGATTTAAGATAGCCAGTAATTTGGTAGGCTTACCAGCTCTAATTTACATGAGGAATACACTGGAAATACCCATTTTAGCTTCTGCTTGAATATTGCTTTGGCCCCCATCTGAAGAAAGTCTTCATAATCATCCAGAAAACAAACCGCTTTTAAGAATGGCTTATTTAATCATGATGCATTAAGCAAAAAAGGTAGACCCCAACCTTTTAGGACTCTAGAGTTTGGATGTGACGTTTAGATAGATGTGTCACACTGGAACAGCACATTCATTCTGATTCTCAGGCTGTGCACTACTCTTAGTCATAAGTTTCTGATGTCTGTTGTCTCTATTGTCAGAGCTGCATCTATCTTGGCACTCAGAAGACTACCTGACACAGCTGAGCACTCAATAAATATGTGTTGCAGGAATGAAGGATGTCCTGAACTCCTATAGTTTCCCTGAAGTGCTATAAAGATAATCTTTCCTGTTCCAGAACTATGTGGGCCATAACAACTTCTGTTATGTTAAAAGTGAATCTTTAATAAAATATAATCAAAGTATTTCTTTAATGCTGTAAGTAAAGCTCTCTCTCAGAATATTCTCAGACAAGATTCCTAGAAGGTAGAGAGGGACGTGCCCCTTTAGAAAGATGCCCTTTGGTCCCCAGGAGGAGGGCATGCCAGAACAGCCACTTGACCCATCCTTGTCCTGGCCCCTGTGAGATACTGATGACAGCATAACAATTTTCTACCTTCATCCATTCAAGAAGTATCTCATCGCTTTTGATAAATAATTCCACACTTTTTACTTTTCAAATGTTCCTTTATATTGGGGTGGGAAAGGTAGGCACTAAATATTTATTGGGTTTATATCATGGAAAGATCAGGAATAGGAATAGTTTAAGAGGCCAGGCGGCAGATAGTAGTAGATCAAACGAAAGGAGGGAATTACCCATTATTTAGAGAACAGAGTAATGGAAGCTCCAGTTACCACATAAATTGTAACAGCTTCTTCAGGGGAAAGTGCAATCTGAAATTAACTTTTATAAAAGAAGCAAGAATACTGAGGTATTTTTAGGGGAAATGCCTCTTTCTCAATTAAGCACCTCACTAGAAATGTAGCCGAGAGATATGCAGGCAGTAGCCCTCCTCTCCAACAAGCTCACCAACCACAACAATTCACTCATCCACTCAGTGGAAGCATTTCTTCCATCTATAGTTTACAGCTCTCCTTGCTTCCTCGGTTCACCAGAAGGCAGGAATGTCATAGGGATTAATGAGATGTGATTTAAACATGCACTCAGCAGTTTGCTTTTAGAGTGGGCCTTATGTTCTTATGCATGATTTACTACTACTGGGCACATAAGATTGAAAAATTAAAAAACTTTCCTGTATACTGTACCAGAGTTTTAATCAAATTTCATAAAGTATTGACATGAGTAATTATCCAAAACACAAGTGGTTTTTGTTTATAGTTTTAAAAAAATTTTTTCTGTCTCTGAAAAGACTACTTACTGTCTAATCTGGAAGATTGATAAAAGTTGAGATGAAACTGCTTCCCTTTTTTCTTTCCTTTTTAAAAGAAATAGCTAACATATTTGTAATATTATCCTCACAATAGTCTTAAAAGGTCAATGTTGTTATTATACCCATTTTGAAAGATGTAGAAATTGAGGCACCATAACAATAAGTAACTTGCTCAAGGTCAAATACCTAATAAATAATAGAGCTAGAATTTGAATCCATGCATTCTGGCTCCAAAGTTCATAGTTTTTCACACTTTTCTTATATTACTCCATATAACTATATTTACATATAACTATATTTACATATAACATATAACTATAATTACTCCATAAACTATAATGACCTCTTAAAATGTTAATTTTGGCATGAGCGTTTTATTAGAAATTTATGATTTGATCAATTTGATTCAATTTCAGATTATCACTAAAATGTATGCTTTTTCAATTGAATAGGCATTTGATGTTTTCCTTTTATTCACTTTTAATCCATGTTAAGCTGTCATTATAAATTCTCATTATATTATAGAACTTGGCAAATATATACTTGTTTGGATATAAGGCAAAGTATGAAAATCTAACTTTATTGTAAATCCTTTTATACCTCTGAAAGGATGCTAAATTGGATAGTTTTCAAACATTTGCAAATTATAGTAGCATTTTATTTTTAAAAGAGTCTAATGATGAATGTCATAAGAGTAAATGTTAATATTTATTCATCATACCACCACTCCAAAGTGAGATCCAGCATCCATCATTGTTGTAGATATTTTGTTTTGTTTTAAGATAGTGGACTTATAACAGACATATAGCCTGGAATTCCCAGTCTTGATTTAAAATAAATTGATGTCCTCTAAACAGGGAGAATGCTCTGGAAATTTAAATTTTTAACTTTCCATTTTGCTGAGAGAGCAATGAAAATGGATAGTATGATATTCCTTTCAGTAGTAGTTAAATAGTTAAAAGAGAGACCTGTGTATGTTTCCAACATTCATTCATTCAACTGCTGGGGCTGCAGCAGTTGCTAGGAAGGCAATCTGCTTGTCCTTCTCTTGAGTCTTCTGTCAGAGGAATCTTGTGATTCCATAGCTCTTTGCCTAGACCCAGGCAACCGACAATCTTGATCTCGTCATCTTCTATGTGTTGTATCCCCACATGTCCCCACCAGATCGTGAGTTTCCTAGAAATAAGGACTGTGATTTATTAAGTCTTGTGCTTTAGTTGTCCTGGGTAAGGACAAGGCAGATTGTCCAAATAAGAGGTTGAAGCACAGGTGAAAAGATCAGATTGTCTACTCCATAAGGGCAGCGGTTCCTCTGCCTGTGTTGCTCACTGCTGTATCCCAGGATCTGATACATTCATTGCCTGGAACACACCAGGCACTCAGTCATAGGCTGAATGAGTTTGAATAAACAGATTTAGACTTGGATTGAGTCTACCTAGGCACAATAGTTGAAGGCATTTATTTATTCTTTATTAATTTGGCAAGTGTTTTTAGAGTATCACCTTATGCTGTGGACTGTGTTAGGCACTGGAGATACAAGTCTTAGCCAAAATCAATTCTTGTATCAGGAGACTAGCTGTATAAAGGAAAGGCAGATTTCCAGTGAGAATTTTGAGTGACAAGTAACAGTTTGAAGAAGTAGAGAGAGCAAGATCATCTTTCTATCTGCTGTTTCTCTGTCATCTATAAGTTGGGACTCAAGAACTAAGACAAGTGGCGGGGGTCATAGAAGCCACAGGAGGAGTGTCTTGGCAAGGGAAGAAGGGGTCGGTGGTATCAGGCAGTGCACTGGGTTGGAGAAAAGTTGATTAGCTTTAACATGACAGAAATTGGGTCCTACCAGGAATTGTGTGTGTAGATAAACCAGAATCTTCATGCATATGTACTGAAAATGAATAGACCATTACATAATTATTTTCTTTAAAAAGCTCTTATAGTTCAGGCAGTTTAAATGTTTTTTAGTGAAATTACTATAGTTGAAAAACTTAAAGAAATGCTAAAAGGAAAGAACATAATCTAGTATGCCTTTAGGCTGCTTTGAGGAGAATGGGACAAGAGTGGGTATCCTGCTGGCTGTGTTAGTCCTGGCTCCACCACCTGTTGGCTCAGTGTGGTGAGTGCCTTTACTTGATCTTTCTGTGCCTCAGTTTCCTCATCTGTTAAAATGGGGTGACAGTAGTTCCTATCCCATAAGATTAGATGAGAAAATACTTTCATCACAGTGTTAGATAAGATAACGAGTGCATGGAGTGTGCTGAGCACTCTGCCAGTGCAAGTGTTTGCTAGGTGTGTGCTTTGTTGTTAATCCTGTTCCAAAGTGTTCTCCGTCTTCCCTGTCCCCCATCTCAGAACAGCTAGAACTTGGGGATGGTTCCAGAAGATTACCAGGCTGACTAAAATGATTGTGAGACTATATGTCCCTTTCTTGATTTTGTCTATTATAGCAGTGGTCCCCAACCTTTTTGACACCAGGGACTGGTACCTGTCTGTGGCCCAGGGGTTGGGGATTGCACTATTAGAGAAAGCAAATGCAGGGCTTGCCTTTTCTTGATTTGTTTCCAGTTCTGTTGTTTGGTGTAGTTAATTAACTAAAATTGTTGTTGTTTTAGCTACATGAAAGTGGTTATGATGCCGGCAAAGCCCTGCAGCGCCTGGTGAAGAAGCCTGTGCCCAAGCTGATCGAGAAGTGCTGGACTGAGGATGAAGTGGTGAGCATGAACCTGCGTTTGCCTCATGTTCTGGGTCACTGGGGCATTTGCTTCTTGGTGTGTGACCTCTCTGCTACTCAGGGAAAGGAGCTCATTCAGAAGATGCAGTTACGCAGAGAGTCTTTCCATGGCATCCATTAACCAAAAGGAAAGAGACTTTCTTTAAGCCTGATTATTGTACAGAAAGACTTGATTTTAGTAAGATTAGATTCCATAGATGATGGGAAAGATTTGCCCAAATTTCATGGAAAGACAGGAGAAATCTATTGTCACTCCTTTAAAAAGTGAATTTGAATTTATTTTTGGTGCAAGCTAGCTCACGATACCTCCCTATTTAAAGATGCAAGCATATTAAAATCAGTTGATACATAACCTAGAGTAGGATGGTGACTTGTGGGATCCCTAACCTGCTGAAGGACATTAATTAAAAGTAAGAAGCATAGACTTGCTTAAGTAAATACAGTGAGTTTTACATATCGATTCAATTGTTGTGGCCCATTGAAGGATGTGGGAAGAGAGAAATGTGCCCACAAATACACACTTGCAAACCCGCAGATTCCCATCCGGCATACCGAGTTCTCATGAAGCTACATCCCCATCTTGTGACTTGTAAAAGGTATTGCTATAAAAGACTTAACAGATTTCTTGTGCTTGTGCAAATACAGTTTTCAGTACGAATGTTACCACTTGACATTTGCCCTTCAAGTGGAATGAAATTTACATGAAGGCTGGCACTGAGACACATATGAATTCCAAGTTCCTCACCTGTGTGTTGAGAAAGTGTTTAGAAATTGTATGTGCTTTCCTGATCCTGCTCTCTTTCATTTATTCATTATTATTTATTGAGTGCTCATTGTGTGCCTAGTTCTGTGCTAGACAGGCCATATCAAGAAGAACACAAGGTCCCTCCCTAAAAGTCTTATGTTTTGAGGGGAAACCATCATAAATCAGTATGTGTCAAGTGGTGGTAGAACACCGAGAAAAATAGTGTTGGGTAACGAGGATGGGGAATCGCTTGGATGAGGGCACTGTCTTATGTAAGAGGATCAGGAAAGTCCTGGTAAGTGACATTTAGCTGAGACCTTAGCTAAGTGAGGAGGAGACCTTTTTGGATAACAGAGAGAAGAGAATTCTGGGCCCAAAGGTGAGAACATGCTTCACATGTCAAGAAATAGGCAGGAATGTATGTGTAGCACAGCAAGGAGAGGAGTAGTAGGAGAGGTGGGTGATGGGTGTTGGGGAGGAGGGTGTGTCCCAGAGGGAACAGAATCAGGTGTGGCCTGTGGACTCAAGGCCTGTGGGCCTTGTGATTTGCTCTGCACAGAGCAGCTTCTGAGCAGAGGAGTGGTTCACTCTGGAGGTGGGGCTCACTCTGGCTGTTGAGTCCAGTGGCCTGCGGGGGCTCCTGTCTGTGAGAGTCCAGGCTGGGGCTGGTGACCAAGTAGTGTGGGAGCAGCATGCTGGAGAGCAGTGGTGAGATCTGAGATGCACATGGAAGGTAGAACAGAGACTTTGTTCCTAGAATAGCTCTGGCTACAGGTGGGCAAGGTTGGGAGGAATGAGGACAAAACTGGGAGGCAGCAGAGATGGACAGAGATGGACTGAAATGGCCCTTGAGGGTTTGGTAATAGAGTGCTGTCACATAGTCCCTCAAGACTTTTTTTTTGAGACAGAGTCTCACTTTGTTGCCCAAGCTAGAGTGAGTGCTGTGGTGTAAGCCTAGCTCACAGCAACCTCAAACTCCTGGGCTCAACCGATCCTCCTGCCTCAGCCTCCCAAGTAGCTGGGACTACAGGCATGTGCCACCATGCCTGGCTAATTTTTTCTATGTATATTAGTTGGCCAATTAATTTCTTTCTATTTATAGTAGAGACGGGGGTCTCGCTCTTGCTCAGGGTGGTTTCGAACTTCTGACCTCGAGGAATCCGCCTGCCTCGGCCTCCCAGAGTGCTAGGATTACAGGTGTGAGCCACCACACCCGGCCCTTCAAGACTTTAAATGTTATCAGCCTTGTGGTGGAGTTAGTGTAGCTGTTTAAAATGAAAAAAAATTAATATCTTACATGATTAGTAAAGAGGTGGAAACATCTTAAACATATTTTGATGTTCAGACAACGGCTAACATAATGACAATAAATTCAGTCATTTTGAGAAGTCATGTTGACATTGCTTTTCAGTATAAACATATTTTTGTGAGGAGATAAGAGATTTGATTAAGATTTTAAAATTCTACAAAGAGCCTTTGTGGAAGGAGGACATAAGGAGATGAAGAGGATGGAACAAGTATGTATAATGTGACCGTTTAACCACTCTTTCCAAGATTTCTTTCGCTCTCCTTGGCCTGGCATAGCACAGTCTGTAGGTCCATGTCAGCATGTATCTTACTCTCCTGCAGTTCTTGAGCATCTCCCTTCTGTCCTCATGTCCTTTGTCATTTTCTCTCCTCTCCCCACCTCTCTGCCTCTTCTTGGTGTTCCCCCACAAACCCCCTTCTTACTTCTGCCTCCAGCTCCTTTCTATCCATGACTCTCCTCCCTCCTTCCCTCCCTTCCTTTCTCCTGTGACCTTTCATTTCCTCTAGAATTTTAAAAATACACAGCACCAAGTCCTCTTTCCCTACTTAAAAGAAAGCTGATTTCCTTTTCCTACAGCACTTCTTTATGTCGGGCAAGACGTTGACTGTGTCCCCACTGCAGCTGCTCAGGGATTTTTAGCAGTGAGATGGGAAGGGGCGGGGGGTGTCTTACGCATCAGAAAGAGCCTGGCTTTATTTTGAAAAACAAAACATAACTCGAGTACGGATAATGATCCTTAACTGCATAAATCCATGTCAGTTTGGGCTCATTTTTATCATGTTTGCTTCTTGTTTTGAGAAATGTTTTGGCAGTCATCCAGCCCTTGCAGAGCCTAGGGATCAAATGGTTCCCTTATTTGTAGGAAGCGAAGCTTCACTTTCTGAAACCTCAACAGAGAGTAAGACAGAATGATTGAATAATTGAGAGATTGAAGGAAGCTTTTGATGAATGCATCCAAATCACATGTTTGAATAGATTTATGTGGCCACAAGACAGTCCCTGCCCTCTTTACCTGAGCCTGGCTATAGCTATGAAAAAAACCTCTGTGTTAATGTGGACCCCTCATGTTGAATTTACCACATTTTCTCACTTTAGAAATCACAGGAATAAGCAAAACAGATGTGTCCCAGCTAAACTAAGTACATGGGCCTACCTCCCTTTTTTCCCACCCTCCCAGTTTTCTATATACTTGGAACATTCTATAATAGTTATTTTTAAACTTTGTTGCCTTTAATGGTTGTTTCTCTTTTCATATATGTGAATACTTGGAAGCATCTGCCCCTGTGAGAGGGTTAGTGGAATAAGCACGTGAGGGCATGAATCCCCCTGTGGATTGGACAGGCTGGGCCCAGGTGCCTCCTGACCCTGGTAGGCTTCCTGCTCTGTGAAGAAACTAATCTCCATCATGCCAGTCTGGACCCTGACCAGTCTCCATGGCTTAGCTCAGTTCCTCTGGCCATCCCACAGCCATTGCTCCTCCTTCTGAACTGCATCTCCTGTTTGCATCATTTGTTGGCCGTTAATCCTTTGCCTCCTCATGCTAACTTGTGTGCTATAACTGCCAACTGTTTGTTCCCCAAAGTCTTTATTTCTGAGTTGATTGCCCTCCTCATTTATAAACTTATTGAGGATGAAGACTTATTAATGATGAAGATAATGTCTCTCCCTAGGAGGGGCTTAAACATTGGTGACTCTTTGTTCAAGGTTATTGTTTCAAAAAATTCTTCACTATAATTAAGATCATCTTTAATCTAGCCTTTTAAAACTTATAATGGTTAATAATTGTGAATCAACATCAAAGAGAAAAACTTCTACATATATCTAAAGCTGACCTTAACAGTTTTATTTTGGGAAAAATCTCCCAAATTCATTATCATCATCACCATCATCATCATCATCCTATCTCCCAACCACTTTTTCCTAGGCCTTTGGACAATCGTTAATTCTAGAAATCTTAGACCTCAGATTATATAATAGGAAGCCTTCCATTTCGTACTTTCTCTCCGTAATTTCCCTGACAGTTTGTGTGTATATAGATGTGGTTTTTCTAACTGAAGTTGCTTGAGGGCTAAAATACTTTAAATCTTCTTGAACTGAAGCCAAATTTATGCCAATTTCTATCAAATTCTGTCCTAGATCCTGCAGATGAATTCTGCTTCCGTAGAGTGACTATGAGAAACACTTTGTTAGGTAGCTCATGGCATATCTTTCAGGCCAAATAAACTGGGTCAAACCAGAGAAACATTCTGGAAGAAATGCCAGGCCAATTCATAAAGCTTATTAAATACAGTGGTGTGGGCGAAGAGGGAGCGAAAGCAATGGCTAGCTGCTCCCTGTGAGAGTTGTACTGATGCTTAAACAAGTTCATGTACGTTGTGCTAAAAGTACTCTACCTTTCAGGAAGTCATCTAAATCAGTAGAATTTAGGAATAGAAAGAAGAGGAAATACAGATTAGAACTTTAAAGAAAAAAGCCTCAAAACTGAAACCCTAGATTATTAGGTTTTTAGGTTTTTAATTAAACATGATGAATACATTCAAATATAACACAAAGGCCCCAGGCTGAACTGCACCTAATCGAAACAGATTAAGTCACCCTTTCATGCTTGGATAGTTATTAATTCTGTTTATTTATGCATGTGAGCTAAAGGTAGCATTTGCTGCTGCTGTGTTGTTGCTTATTGCACTGGGATTCCGTTGCTGCTTGATGCTGTGCTCTCAATTAGCATTCAGCTGTTGATTATGGAAATACTGAGGATGCTAATTGAATTCTTTTTAAAATTCAGGACCTGCATTTTCCTTGTAGAGTTTGGCTTGACTTGCAAGGTTGTAAGACTGGGTGCTCCACTGAGCTGTGCATTTCATCCTTTGCTTTGTATCCACTTGGCTGTATTTGGTTTTTGAAATTATTTTCATGTTGAATTAGC